CACACAGGAAAGAAATGTCAGACTTCTGACTCAGCGCATTGGGAAAAACTTGTTCTGCCTATGATTCAGGAGTATACGTGAGAGGAAGCCACCAGATGAGAGATGCTTGTTTCATGTGTTGCGGAAGTTGGAAAAGTAATAAAAAGAGGCAGGGAACTGCAAGAACTGTAAAGAAGGTCCTGTGATTAAGGCAGAAGGGTATTGCCCTCTGAGAGATGGAATCTGTCTCTCTCCCTCCCTCTGCAATTCCCAGGTGACAAAAGAAGGTTTGCTTAATGAGCACTTCGCAGATGGTGACAACCTGGATGCTCCTCAAATTCAGAAGCCTGACTTGTCTTGAGAGTTCAGTTCAGTTCTGGTTTGCAAAAACACTGAAGCTCACAGCTGACCTTAATAGATCTCAACAGAGAAAGCATGATATCATTCCAAGCACTCTGAAGTAGTGAAGGTCAGGTTTCGCAAACTGATTGCCCTAAATTAATGGACTCTTCACAAATAAATTTCTCCATTGTCTCAGTTCTCCATCTGTAAAATACAAGCCATATTAACCCTACTACACCTCTCAGTGATGCTGCAAAGACTGATTTAACATTTGGAAAACACAAGCTGTATTGTTTAAAAAAAGAGAAAATGGACAAATCTGTGCTCAAAAGGGAGCTTGAACAGCATGATAAACATATACAAGTCAAATCCAGACATGTTTAGCTCAAGTTTCTTTACACTACCTTATATCAATACGGAACAGAGCTGTGCTAAGGAAAAGGCTGTCTGCAAAAAGAACAAATTTATTAAAGAGAGGCTATGAAAAAATACTGCATGTTGGCATGTAACTCAACACAGCACACTCCTGCAAATAATCCTAAGCAAGTAAGGTTAGTGCTGACAACTCTAATGTTTGACTTTTCAACTTTAATAACATTCTTTAAATGTAGTGATTTTGAATACAACTAAGTAATAAATGAGAAAATAAACTAAAATTGCAAAAGAAAGAAGTATATAAAATCTTTTGTCACTCCTCAGTACACTAAGTCACTGAGAAAGTCAAAGAAAAATACAGTAAATTACTCAAGATCAGTGGTGTCTTATTCTGCTGAAAAATAATAAACTGATCTGATGTGACAGCAGCAGGCCAAGCTCCTTAGTAGGTAGTTGCAGCTACACTTCCTTGACTGCCTTTCTTTACAAGGAGAACTCTGGTGAATTTTTTTCAGGCTTAATTCTGGTTGACCTGTGTCCAATATACTGATTTGATGAGTCTTGCTCCTTGACTCCCTCTTCCCCCCAGAAACAGTTAGAAAATGAAGTAACTGACCAAGGGCTAGGACCGCCTTTTCTAGAAAACAGAGATGACTTAAAAGATCATTAGCTGAAGAGTTTGGTTACTCCTGAACAAAGAAGTATATGTATCTTCTGAAATTCCATTTCTGTCAGCAGCTGCAAATGTGTCGAAGGGAGAAAGCAAGCAGCTCAAACACTGAGAACCACTAACAGACCGTCTAAACTGGCAGGATCTCTTGCCTTACCACAGTTGTGAGTAATGCTGACTGCTGAATAAATAGTTTCAACTTTAAACAAAGGTATTCCTTCACTGCCATTCAGTAATAGAGCATTTCTCATGCCAAAATTTTTTTCTTAGTTTATGAAGATAAACCTAACCACAGAAGCTGACTTTTATAAAATATAAAAAAAATAGTGGAAATTCAGAGAAATTCAGAGTTAGCCGAATACCAAGAACCAATCATAAGAACTGAATGGTCCAAGAGGAAATGCAAAATAAAAAGCATGGATTAGTCCCCAGTAAAAAGACTACACTGGTATTTCTGAAGAATGATGTAGAAATGGGTACTTTGTAGCACATACCAAATTCCAGAGGGAATCCATGAAGATTTGCTATTTCTCTTGGAGTAAAGTACCTCAGTTTTAGTGTTGACAATTTCATAAGCTTCTCTTCTTCTGGTAACTCCTCAATGTGTTTAAACACTGATTCAAGCTACAAAGAATATCCAAACAACAGATCCAATCAATGCAGGCCAAATACGCAAAATTCAACACTCACATCTTAACAGAATATTTCTTTATCACAGTGCCAAAGACAATAGAGTATTTTTGTTGAAAGTATGATTGGTGTTGTGTCTTTGCAGCCAGTATCTCAACACATGGACTTGCAAGAAAGAATCAATGTTGACATGACAGCATTCATCATTTCTTCCTCCAGTTACAAGCTATACTAGTACTTAACGAGGCAATCAAAGGATTATAAACATTTGTTAATGACAGGATAGTGACTTAATATTGCAGACCATGCACACAAATTAAGCTGTATACATGCAGCTGTTTTAATATATTCGCTTTGACATTATCCTGAATTCCAAAGCTGCATTCTTCTTATGCTTAGAAATGCCATACAGTATTAGTCAACAGCACATAAGTGCAAGAGGAGGTGCTTGTGTACAAAACAGGCTTTATGAAAAGTATTTGAATGATGATTCACCAATACATTTATTTTTACCTTCCCCAATGCCAAAACATCACTTTGCGGTGAACTTAGGATCAACAGTAAAACTTTTCAAAATACTATGTCTTCCCAGATAAATAATACTTTTGAAATTTAAACACGTTAAACATTTGACAATATTTACTGGATCATCTGCATACAATAAATGGCCCTAGATTCACAACACTGTACTGTAGTTTCACCATAGAATTAGTCATTCATAATGTTTTCACATAGCCCTGTGAAATCTCTGTATGACACTATGGATAATAAAATAATAGCAATACATATTCTCCATCGAGAGAGGCACACACATAATTTTGATTTAAATGAACTGTTGTTTAAGAACACAAAGTAAATCAACTGGAAACTCGGTTGCCACAAAACATAGTTTTAAAAGCTTTTTTGTTATAATATTCAGAATAACAAAGCAGAAGACAGAAAAAATAGTTTTAAAACAAGCAATTCTCATATGTTAGTCTATACATTCTTACCTGTACATCTACTGCTGTCTGCAGAACTGAGCCTGTCCCTTCAACATAGTGTCCATACCTTAACAACAAAAGTAATAATCTTAAATTAATAGTTTCACCAGACCTCACAGCACTGACAACTACAAAGATACAGGGAAGTTCCTTAGGTTCCTTTGCTTTGATTAACAAATAGCCTCCTGGATAGATAAAGCAAAAGGCCTTGTTATTAACAATGCTAACCCTTGGAATGCAGTAGCCTCTGAATGTGCTCTCTAGGGATGAGTCTGCAATCAATGCACAAGGGTTTATCCACACTAATGTCTTGTATGAGGCAACTATACAAGGCCAAGGAATTCGAGCACAGCATCATCAGAAAGGGCCATCTGCACTGCACAAACCAATTTTACACTAAGGCAAAACATGTTAAAGGCCAAATGGTCCTAGGGGTTCAAATCAGCTCTCTGCATTCAAAGGAGGACCATTAGTGTGAGCCTTCAGCTTCTATACTAATCCATTAGGAACAAAGTGGTTCAGCCAGGTTTAATTTTTGGTTGCTTGTGGATTTTCCACAGAGGGAAGAGATGGATGATGGCCAGGTATCTATGCAGAGTAGTAGAAGAAAGAAAGAAAAAGAAGAAAGAAAAAAATGAAATACAACTAAACAGTAAGCAAACTTACATTCTAAAACCATACGATAGCTTTTTTTTGATGCTTTGTGGTTGATTGCACAACATGTTTACTCTGTAGTCTCTTCCAGGCTATCATTTAAATATAATTACAGGCTTTCAGAAATATGCTCTGCTGGTCTAACTGTGATGGTGTTAGTCTCTCTGTTCAGGACATTCAAAGTCAAGTCCACTTTTGCACAGTGGAAGAACTTCAGAAGATCCCTAGTACAAGATGGATGTGGTCTGCATCAACCATTCACAGATACTACTCTCTAGTTTTATCTGTGTATCTGTAAAGACAGTTATAAAGGTCTTTTGTTTCACTTGCGGCCCATTCTAAAGCAAGGCACTGGAAAAACTTCTGTTTCAAGATTTTTAATGCTACAATGAACAAAGGAATAGTCTCCCTTCAGCACAGACATAATGAGCCAGATGCTCAATCTTGAGAAGTTTTTCTTCAGCTGAAAAAGCTTATGAGTAGTTCTGCCAGTATCAGTGAGAGCAACACTCATTTTAAAATAAAGTGCTTGCAAGTCTTCCTTAGGATCAGAACAAAAGGCCCTGAACACTGATGCAGATTAAAATGCAGTTTTTTCATCAGTCCTTCTGGTCAAAGGGAAGGGGTTTGAAAGTACAGCCGAATCTGGTGAATCAACAATTGGTTACAGAACTGGTGCCATAGCTAGGGGTGGGAGACCATGGGACTCGCTTTGAGAAACCTGGGCTACTGGGAGATGATGGGGTCTGTCTGTCAGAGAAGGGGAAGAACATATTTGGTCAGAGTATTGCCAAGATGGTGAAGAGGGCTTTAAACTAAAGTTGACAGGGGAAGGGAACCTCAATCCATCCCACTCCTACCAGGTTGATGCCAGTGCCAGCAGGAGATGCCCAGAGCCTGGAGAGGGGTCACAGGTCAGCAGGAGAGCACCTGAAGAGTAGCACAAAGGAATTTCAGAAGGACATGGACCTGTTCAAGCAAGTCTAGAGGAGCCCACAAAGACAGGCAGGGAGCTGGAACACCTTCCCTATGAGGACAGCCTGAGAAAGTTGGGGTTGTTTAGCCTGGAGAAAAGAAGGTTCCAGGGAGACCTTATAGTGACTTTCCAATACTTAAAGGGGGCTACAGAAAAGATGGGGAGGGACTCTGTCAGGGAGTGTAGGGATAGGACAAGGGGTAATGGTTTTAAACTGAAAGAGGGTAGATTTAGATTAGATAGAAGGAAGAAATTCTTCCCTGTGAGGGTGATGAGACACTGGCACAGGTTGCCCAGAGCAGCTGTGGCTGCCCCCTCCCTGGCGGTGTTCAAGGCCAGGTTGGACGGGGCTTTGAGCAACCTGGTCTAGTGGAAGGTGTCCCTGCCCATGGCAGGGAGGTTGGAACAAGATGATCTTTGAGGTCCCTTCCAACCCTGTGATTCTATGAAAAACACATGGAATCCATCTATGTTGTAAATATATCACCTTCAATTGCTTAGCTGCATCCTGAAAATGCAACAAGTTAAACAATGGAACACCCATAGCACTGAAGAATCCTGATGTTTCTCTTATATAGCATCTGACTGTATCTCAGATTATTATTTCTGAGCCAAAATAAATAAATGAGGATAAATTTCGCAGTGGTATTTTAGAGTTTTATTGGGGAAAAAGCACCTTTTAACAGTATCCATGTTATATAAAAGTCTAAATAATTGGCACTACAGAACTCACAAAAAAACTCCAGGTGGTGTAGAAGTGGTTTGGGGGCCAGGGAGGAAGCATGTTGGGTTTTTTTCGACAAAAATATGGGCAGATGGCCAATGTTAGCTGGATTATTATTAATTATTATTGCAGCTGCTGACTACAGAAAAATTAAAATTCCTACTTTAGACTCAGAACATAATTAAAGATGGTAATTTTTGCCATAGTAAAAATGATGCATTGATTTTCTGACATTTCATTACCAGTTATAATGAAAGAAGTTGGCTTAAGAAATTACAGTCTTCAATTTTCATCTGACTCAAGATTTTCCCCCCCTTCTATTTCAGTAAGCTTTTAAAAAAACCTTTTAATTTCATAGACATAATATATTATTTCTGGGTATATTGAGTCCTGTGACTAACAAAAAGGTAATTTCCATAATGCTAGAGAGAGTCTCTGTAAGTAATTTTACACTATTTTAGAAGGTATTGCTTCTCTTTTCAATAGCACATCAAGAATTTACAAGTAAGCCCAGAACCATTATATCTAAGGAAGCAGTTTTAATTTGCTCTGTCCTTTAAAATGGACAACTTCCTCTCACAACTCCAGTCACCACAAACCTACTTTTAAAAGAAACCATGATGTTTGTAGTCTCAAGAAACTCATGTAGTCTCAAGAAACTCAACAATCATTTTCCAATTACCTAGAAGTCCAAGATCCGAAGTGAACACAGGATCATCTGCTTAATCTCTCATGCATCACAGCCTGTAACATTTTGCCCTATACTCCACCAAAGCCTTTCAGCAGATGTACTGGTATGACAAAGGCAGAAAGGCAAAAACCACTGATGAAATATCAGGTGTTTGAGGTCCCTGAATAAGCAAGGACTGGAGAAGGCATACTTGGATTATCCCCATCACACAAACCTTGCTGGAAATAACTGAAGACCAATCAAAACTGAAGGAAATTTTTCTCCCAGTCTCAAAGTTGATGATCAGTATGACTTCTAAGAAAGACACCAGACAGGTATCTCAGCAGAGGGATTCTCTGTACTACTTGGATTACTGTTCTGCTTCATTCAGGGTCCTCTTTCCTAAATCTTAAGCTCTGGAGAAACATAAAAACAGAACTCCTAGAACACATACAGCAGCAACTTATTCTTGGCCTTAGAAAGTGACCTGAATGAAGCCTGAGATGTAATTATAATCTTTCTTTTAATGCAGAGCTGTAAATGATATGACCACACTGAGAGCCATGTTGGAAACTTTCCAAAAAGGAAACAAAGACTGTAAATCAGATTCCTACGTTTTGGGCCAAGAAGGACTACCACAGCTATCTGTTCTGGCTCCTTCCACATCAGCAGAAGGGCAACAGTCACATTCAGTGTCAGATTTCCCACCACTATATGTAAAGACTTCATATTAACTAAAGAGCCTCCTTTGATGTGATTTTAATAAACATGACCACAAACTACCATGACGTATTCCGGTGAAACCACATATGGCCCATTTATTTTTAATTATACTTGAGGCAAACGGGAGATACATAAGAGATCATTCTGGCCGAAGTTTTTTGACTATTCTAGTTAAGAAACAGATCTCCACAAAAATGTTGATCCCCCACAACTCAAAAGAGCGAGGGCACAGAAGGTGTATGTCAATGAGAGCTGGGGGAAGAGCGTTTCTGTTGCAAAAAGTTTGAACTTCTGAAATTCTTTCTCTTCTCAACTCTTATTGTCAAAAAGTTGAAATCACAAAATCTGCAGAACTCTGTCAATCTGGAAGTCTAACTTCTAGTTAGCTTTAACTCATCAGCTAAGTCATGTTGCTGAAACACTCTGAGAATTCAAAAAAAAACCCTCAAACTAATCTGAAAAATTCACCGACATTAACATTTTCCACAAACATCCAGGCTCCATCTGGCATTTTCCAATACAAACGCATTCAGTGGAAAAGTTCCTGACTGTTTGTCTGTGGGTTTCAGAACACTTAACAACCTCCAGCAGTCAAACTTAAAATTGTAAAGTACAAATCAGAAAACTACTAGACAGAAAAGCACTGATGTTCTGCTCCATCAAATATTATCTGAAATGCAGCAACCTAACTGGTTTTATGACATATGGCCAATCCACAGCTGTTCTGACTTACAGAGCTGAAAAATCCAAGAAATCAATAAAATGTACAGTGGAGACAGTTTTAATGAGGAACAGATCTATCGTGCATGACACCTTGTAACTGCATTGAACAATATAAAAAAATTCATTAATTAATCAGCACTATACCAGTCTACTGGAACCATATTTCCACAGGGGTAATTAAGCTTCTGTGAAGGTCAACAACAAATGGCACTTTCTTTTGTGAATGCCTTTTTGGAGTGGGTACATGATGTTCTGCCAGACAGATTCTCATGCTAGCATTCCACTGGACCAGGAAGCATACTATATAAGGAGATATTTTTTTTTTCTAGAGGCCTGGGGTTTTTTTTTATGAAATGGCTCTTCTTGATTTACAGTACACAAGCAAAAATACAGTTAAAATTCCAAGACACAATTCAGCAAGACATCTTCTATGCAACTTACCCTTTTGTAAAGCATGTGGATCTCCGACAGGTGGGTTTAACAATGTCTAACAAGAAAGCATAGCGCAATAAGTACTTTGGTGGTAAGAAATACAGACTCATTTCTTCATTTTCCTCTTCCAAGAAGTATTTCAGCATTTGAATAGAGGAATCATTGTCCTGACTACGTTTCCTTTCCACTTCTTCTACTGTTTCAAGCTTAAAAAGAAAAGCTCCTTTTGGTAAACTCTTCTTGCTGCTGCAATCAGGATCAATGTTTGGATCCAGATTCTTCTCTTCAGAAGACGAAGAACAACTAGCTTCAACAACTTTGTCAGCAACTTTGTCCTTGACTAAGTCTTCTAGGTCCTGATCTGGGAATCTTGTCAAAATCTAGGAACAAATTGTGAGAAATAAAATTAAAGAACTCCATTTGATAAACAAGTTGACAGCAGACTCCGCAGTGAGAATTCCTTCAGAGATGCTCAGAATAAAGCAAATAATCTTTCAATGTTATCTTCATGAAGATTTCAAAAAATGTTACCATCAAGATTTGCTGACCTACCGGCAATGATGCCAGGAACAACCACAAATAATTGCCTTTGGAAAAAGACCTTTCCAAGGGTGTGAAAAAGGTAGCAGAATACATTGGTTTCTAGCCCACTATCAGCCATTGGCATGCATTTCAGTCCTTACAAATCTCAGGCTGAAAAAAGACAGACAGAATTTAACTTTTCTGTTGATACTACTTATCCCTCCCTCCATTCATCACCACACGCCACTAAACTGAGAAAGTAATGCTCAATCTCCATGAAACAAAGCAAATTCAAGTAACACTAATACACTCACCTGACCAGGAGCTTGAAAAGAAAATGGTTCTTGGTAAAGCTTTGCAATTAGAAAATATCGCAGCCTAGAATTGGGAATGCCAAGCTGCAAGCAAAATCCACAAGACTTTAGTCCATGTGATAAAGAGAGAAAAAGTGCTTTATAGCATCATACAAGTTATCTACCATTATATACAGTAATAGAACTATGCCACACTAATAGTATCCTAATCACTTACAACTTCCATGCCTAGCTATTTTCAAGGAAACAACTGGCAGTTATTCTTTGCACCTCACGGGTTTTACTTTCTCTGTAGATGAACAGGAATGTAAACAAACTTTCATGCAAAGAAAGGAAAAAAATGGCATGCATCACCATTGCTTGGTACAGGTGCTACTGTTTTCCATTAAAAAAGCAAAAGACATCTCCTTGTCTTTTTGAACAAGGATTATAAGACATTTAACAATGAAAAAAAAATGCACCACAACTGGTTTTCAAGCTACCCTCTATCAGCTTCTCTAATATATACAATACTTCACTGATTCTATTCAGTCCTGTGCAATCTGAAATGTCTCTCAACTCTTTTTTCAGTTGCCAGGGAAACATGCAAACAAAGGCCCTCCTCCTGCAAATGACACAGTCACATTTTCCATGCTGGGAAATTCAGAGGCATCAGCATTTCTGAAGCAATGAGGCTCCTGCAGGGAAAACCACCTTCCTGGTCATGGTGTAAATTCGTGCCTTTTAAAAAAATATCAAATGGTAGCAAAGCAGTATGGGACTAGTATCTGAACAATAACAGCAGTATGGTTATGTCAGTATACTGATGAGAAATCAGATGTCTTGCCAGATGGTTTTCTCATTCAAAAGAGTATCTTTAGCTCTGAGCATGACTGCTTTCTAATACAACAGATCATTTTCACATATTCTTGGCTCAGTGCAGTCTGAACAGTTAAATAATATTAGAGCAATTTCAGTACTCACACAGGTTGGAGACAAGAGAAATTCTTGATATTTAAATCCACATGTTTCTAGTGTTTGCAAAAGTTCATTTCTGGCAGTGAAAAGAATCAAAAAGTAATTACTCCCTTCATATAAGTTTTAGGCCCTTTTTTATTCTAAATAAAAAAAACATTAAATGTAACACCTTAGATACCAAAACATTCAGCACATTCAGTGAAAGAACTGGACAGAGAATTACAGATACGAAGTCATCCATTTCTGAACTTGAGGAAACAACATACAATGTTTATTGTTACTGTAGTCAAAAATTACTGCTACACATTCACAGATGTCTCACACCTACTTCGGTACAAACACCCCTTCAAAAAAATATCCCATCTCTAGAAGAGTACTTACAGTGTGTCAACAAGAAAGATAAACAGAGGGCAATACATTGTCTTTATTGTGAATTATAAACCAGGAGATTACAACCCCTACAAATAGCTCACTAGTTCCCCTCTGGTCACATACATGGCATCAGCGAAACCTAACAAAAGGGCTAACTCAAGAGATGAGAAAAAATGGTGGCTTTGATAATAACAGTGAGGTAGGACTGTACTTTATAAACCATGGAAAATCACTACAATGGAAATCTTAAAAAGCCTTGTCTTTTCTATTCCATGCAGACTGCACCAGGCTAGAACTATACAAAAAGCAGGAGCTGTGACCTGTACCTGGCACTGTATGTGACACTGCACCCCAAGTGTTGTAAGAGAAAGCAAGCATTCTGACTGGAGTGTTTTCTGAACTACAACTTGTTCCAGCTTGTTCCAAACACTAGCCAGTGAGCAATAGCCTAGGGAATCACAGGGTCTACAGCAGCAGCCTGCACCTCCAACAAAATGTTGAAGTATTCACAGAGGACTGCTGCACACTGGCTACACAGAGCGCTGAATGTGTTTCCCAGCTGCCTGCCATATTCATCAAGGTACATGATATGCAAACTGGCTGGCCTCTTGGTGCTTTAAGGAAGGAATTCTGGCAAGGAATGAGAAAGATCACAACCCCCTGTTGCCTGCTTTGCCTACAAGAGAGGAGAATGCTCCTGCTGTCATTAGGTAACATTGACAACTTTCCTCTTCCACATTTCAGACAAAGATTATATACAGTCTTCACCCTGTATCTCTGGACCATTTGATGGCAACCTTGAACCAGTGATAATCTGCCATCAACAAAGGGACTGAAGAAAGCCTCTGTACTGTACTGTGATCTTAACACAAGATACCATGAACTCCTGTCATGGCTAAAACCCCAAAACCTCCAAGTGCTATACCTATTATTATCGTTCTTTGAAAAAATCCATAATGACCCTTTCTAAAGGACACTGGATCATCAAATAAAATTAATGCAGTCAACTTGTTATAACATATTTTATCGGCTTAGAGAAATAAATAGCTAATTAGAAAGTTCTTTTCACAATTTAAGATTTTCATTCCTAAATTAAAATAATATTACTAATCCACAGCTGCTAGCTCTCCTATCTCACTACTTTGTTAACTTGAATTCTAGGAAATAAAAATCCTGCCTTCCCCCTCTAAAGAAAATATTCTTTATTAAAAACTAAAATGTGCACAAATTAGACTTTACCTTGCAGAAGAGGATTCAAATCCTTTAACATTTTCTAAAAGTATGTATTTTGGAAGCTTCTGGAGTCTACAAGGGGAAAAAAAAAAAAAAAAAAGATCAACAAATTATAGTAACAAGATGTAAACCACATTATATTCACCCAGATTTTTTTTTTTTGCTACGAGAAAGATCAAAGTATTTCCATATCACGGTAGCTGTTAAAGTTTAGCATCCTTGAAAAAACATGTACCTCAATTTTCAAGGTTGCTTAGATCGTATTATTTCCAATTCAATTAAATACATGGACTGCTGGTAATTATGAAACCAAACAAAACCCACTTATATTCAGTTGGTCTGCTGTACCCTCCTGTATCCCATGCACGTACTTCTGAAAATGCTTACCACTGTTCATTTCCTAAAGCATAGTATTATTATTCAACAGATTGAGTTTCTAATAGGAAAGATAATTGTTGGGGGGAAAAAAGGTCACTATTTAGCCATGGAACAGAGAACTTTTGTTTTAAAGTGCTTAAACCTAAAAACAATGTCAAAATGTTATATCAACTTTAGTAATAACACATCAGAACCAGTATTCATTTAATTGCTTTAAGAAATACATGTTTAGAGATCAAACTGCAGATACTCTCAATTTTCTATACTTTATTTTTTTCATTTTGATGGGATGGAGGGGAAGGAGGCGCCTGAGGTTTAGCAAGATCAGTGCAGAGGTCTGGAAAAAGGCTCATTCCAAAACCAGCATATTAAATCTCTGGAGAAGGAACATGCCCAAACTGCCAGGGACCATTCTAACAATTTGGAAGCATCAATGATTCAGATTCAAGTCTCTGGGAACATTCCCTGGCACTGATTAATTCGCTAGTAAGCTAATGTAGACACAGTATGTCTGTCACACATTGGGTTCTCAAAACAACATATAGAAACAGGATACTAATGCCACCAGACAGTAGCTCCATGCTTATTTAAGTCAGCAAGTGTCTTTAGACTTCCACTGGAACAAATCACAGCAGAATTTGTTTTAGCACATTCTTAACTATCAACTGAAGACATTCACATGAAGAATTAAACAACTAAAGCATTTCACAAGAAATTGGAAAGCATACAAGATGCTACATAAAATTTAAAAACACTAAAAATAATAGTGAAAAAATAAAACTAAACTGAATAAAGCAGCAGCAGCCAAATTCCCTGCAGAGGAATGGAGAATATAATTGTTGGTATGTTTACCCACACTCATGATCATCACCACCTACTATGAAACTTATTTTTAAAGTAATGAATCCAGAGCATAGCTTGAAATGCAAGAGCTCATACAGGATCAACAGACCACAAGACAAGTAATCATTATAAAAAGAGTACGTGTTAAGTAACTGGCAGGTATTAACATTACAAATGTGTCTGTTAGCATTAGATTTCCCTGGGTTATGGCTTGGACATGATAAACAGACAGTATCCGGACCATCTGGGTCAGAATGCTGGCTAGGTGCTCCAAGGATTTCCTAGGTCTTTCCAGATCCTGAAATTGTCCTTTCCATGTCTCAAATATTTGTTTTTCCAGGCTATCTTTGAGCTTCATTTCACCAGCATTTCATTATAAAAGGCTGAACATAAGGTAGGAACAGCCAAAAGACAAGAAATTATTTTTATAGTTTCCAAAAATTGAACACATGCCATATACCAATTCAGAATGCAAAATGGTAACTCCTATATTAAGAATTTCCCTTTTTTGGGCTGAAATACTCCATACTGAATGTCTGGCAAACACGTCATATCCAAAAAATACACAAACACTATCTCAGTAAAACATAAATCTATTGGAACTGAAAAACTCTGCAGAAGCCACCATCCTGAACATATTACAGGCTGCTTATACTAAGTACTGCCTCAGGAAACAACCTGCCCAAGGGAGATAAGGGACACCAGCAAGGTCTCATGGGGTACTGAGATAAAGCACCACAGCCAAGCCCAGCATCTCTGCATCGTCATGACGAAAAACATATGTTCTGCAGTGTCTAAAGCTTTGGTTTTGAGAAGGAAAACCTTCTGCCCTAGCAACTATATAGCAATGTTTCCATATTAATGCACAACAGTGTCGCAAAAGCAGACAGCCTCTTAACTGTGTCTCAGTTTAACGGAAAGAAATACTGAGGTCAGGATTCCCTTAAGGATAAGTAAGGGACTATTATTCCTGTAAATTATTAACTTACACACTATTTGCTCTTTTTTACTTACCGTTTTGAAAGGTCAGTCTGGAGGACTGAGTAACATTCCTTGTTCCAGAAAAGACATCCTTTGCAACTTTTAAAAACCCACGTTGTCTCCCTATTTTTGTGTCTCTGATAGAAGCAGGGGTATATTAATAATCTTTGTTTTTACCTATTGTCTTACTAAGCTAAAGAATCTGTATTATGTTGTGTGTTGTCTGCCACAGATTTCTTAGGTGGTCCCAGCCAAGCCACTCAGCCCTTCTGTGTCTGTGTTCTCTAACTGCTGATGACAAGGGCAAAGAAGAGGTAGTCCCATTTAATGTTACTGGCTGAAAAAAAGTTGTTTCTGGAAGAAGGATGAACACCCTTTTCTCCCAGTGTTAACAACAGTTTGAAAGAAAGGCTGCTGTTGGTACTAGTTTCCCTCTGTGCTGAAAGCATTATTAAAAAAAAAACAAACAACACACCAAAAAACAAACAAACAAACAAACAAATGGCCAGATAAACCTACCTTCATCCTCCTCCAATTCTGACAATATTAACCAATGAAGGACTATACAGAGAACAGCTGTTCCGGTCTCCAGCAGAAGCGGGGCTGCCAGGAATGGCATCTGGTGGACTCTAACTGACACAAATGCTCAGGCTCATGCCAATTGGTGCCCAATGGACATCTCAGTCCAGAAGCAGAGATTTCAACTGGATAACATCCCTGAGCAACTGCTTGTTCCACTTCCCCAGGGAAGGTTCTTACAGTGCTGTGCACCTTCTTCCCAAAAAAGACTACAAGCCTTGCTTGGAGCTAATTTTTAACACTCTCAAGAAGAACAGTTTAAGTCAGCAAAACCCACTTTGTTTGGATTTACTGTTTCAAAATTTAAGGTATAAATAATACAAATAATTACGGCTATTTTATTAGGAACTGGGGTCTACCAGGCAAAAATGACAGATCAATACAAAGAAAAGAGCACTGTTCAGACAACGCACTGCTATTCGAACTCTTTAATATTACTTCTCAAACCAAGAGACTGTATTACAAACCAAAAATATGCAATCTTCCCAAAAGATATTTTGGTGCCCCAGCATCACAAGGCAAAATAGACACTTTAAGAAAGAATGAAAAGGGTCGGAAGACATATCGTATTGAGTAGTCAATAACATTTTTAAACAAACTTTCAAATATTACCTACTCAAAAGGTGACTCAATGTTGAATTAAAGCTTTTTTAACCTGGTATTTCAAACAATTTTCATGTTTCCACAATGCCTATTAGCGAACTATTACATTACCTCCTTCTGCTTCTACATAAAGTCAGTGCAAGATCGATGTTAAATTGAAAATAAGTAACTCAATTTTTTTCATTTATGATACAGTTTAAACAGACACACAATACAAAGAAAACCAGACAATGAATACACAGTAACTATGAGATGGTAATGGCATTAGTAAAATACAAGTTAGATATGATCATGTGAAAAATAAGTAATACAACACAATGCTAGTAGTATCCCTATAAAATATTATAGATTATTTGTCTTGCTGAAATATAAAAGATGTACTTAGTTACAACAAAGGCCTAAGAAGGTAGAAGTTCATTTATACCTTGGGAGAATATCAAGGATATAGAGAAAGCTCTTTGTCCGTGGATCGGATACATCACCTTGCAGGCCAGTTCTAAGAAAGAATGAAGAAACACCTGTGTATTACTCAGAACAGACTGACATTTGACTTAAATCTTTCTAAGAATGCTGACACTTTTTGCTTTGAGTTTCAAAAGGGATTCTGCAAAAGCACCATGTACAGACATGAGGACCTGCTTACAAAAGCAGTGTCCTAAGAAATGCTCTAAGGAATTAAAATCTAACCCTGGAATCCATCAGCTCAAGCAAGGTTAAAATTGAAGCATTCAGTAACAAAATCCATTCCCCAGTCTGCTGCAAACTGTTTAGCATTCTGGTCTTGTCCAGCAAACCCTTGAACATACTTGGCTCTGAAAGAACAAAAAAACCCCACTGGGTTCCTGGGAATACCCCAATATTTTACATTGAATATATTATTTCTATGAATTAAATCCTCAGTGCTCACCTCTTCGCAGGATTGGGCCCCACATGAATAACTCTGCAACCAATTTCGTAACATTAAACTGGACAGCTCATGTAGGTTATAAAAATGATATAATGTAATGATTCCAGGCCTGTGTTACTCTAACTTGTATTAGCTCTTAAAAAAGAATAAAGCCTTGGTAGAAGCACTTTAGCATGTCTCTAAATTAATTAGTCATACAAAGATTTTTCTTTTTACTGTATTATAAAAATAATAATAGTTTGAATGAATGATTCCTATATACATCATACATTTACACAAATACATTTGTATAGATCATCATGACTTCAGCAGGATTTCTTTTTAATCTTAGGGCATTCAATGAGATATACATTCTTACACAAGCAGGTCCACCATTAACAGACTTTTTCATGAAGTTATTACTTTACATTAGTACAGTTACTAGCCTCTTACCTCCACTGGTTGCTGCTGTCAAATTATATGAATTTGAAACTAATCTGACAAATAACATCTCAGTAAATTCAATACTTAATCGGCAAAACATTCCTCTATATCATCCACAAAATAATTTCAAAGTCATTATCCTCCCAGTTTTAGAGAAAAAAGAAATACTCCTCAAAATAAACTATTAGTGTGCACATGAAATTTTCAAAGTGCAAATAAAACCAGATTACACTCTTAGTCTCAGGCAGAAGTGAGACATTCCAATCCTCCTTCTGGAGTTGCCCCAGGAAAAGATTATATTGATAACTAAAGGGAAAGGAAATAAACCTAAACAGCAAAATCTGTGAATTGCACTGTTAGAGGACAACAGAGTATGTAAAATAGGTGCTGTAAGAAGCTTACCTAATTTAAACTGAATTAAATTATATATTACAAGAAATGCAATCAATAATTAAGATTCAAATTGCTGCATTTCTTTCGCTTCAGTAAACATCACTGTGAACAGAGCTACAATGTCTTTGCTCAGGAAGAAAAAGATATACAGATGAACTACACATAGTGTCACTCTTGAAAACATTTCTCCTTTAACAGCACATACTGTAATAACTGAACTTTTCTCCAAAGTGTGCTATATCTACCTTGTAAATGGCTGACAGGGAGGACTCATCAAAATCATATCAAAAGATAATCTGTCAAATTCTTTCAGTGTTATGCCCTGAATAAGGAAAAAAAATAAAAGAATGTTGAGTGTTGTAAACGGTATGAAACTCTCAAGTCATCTTTCAGATCAAATTACCTCTCTTACTTCCACTATATGCTGCTTCTAGTAAAAATGGATCTAATCTCCCCTTCAACCTAGTAATTTCCATCTTTTCTATCTTGTCAAACCATACAATGCAAATATGCATTAATTGCTTTGAATATGAATCAAAACAACTAATGATGTTAGCATCAATACATAATAATGAAGTTTTTATCTACTGATTCTTTCAGAAGAGGTGTGTAGTGGTTCTTTCAGTAGATCACATGAAAATGCTGACTAGTTATTTCTCCCCATTCCTCTTCCAAATAAAGTATTGTTATTAAGATATTAAGTCTTCATACATTAAAACCATTATTAATATATGCAAAACAGGTGACAAAATCATTAGATCTTCTCAAAAGATAAAAGTATGTGCACAGAAGAGTAGTTCAAGTGTTAACATGAAAATTTTTACAGGTCCAAACTGTGGGTTTCAACTCTTAGGAGCTCACTACCAATGCACCCTGTAAAGTTTAGTTTTTTAAATTCTAGTTTTTGCCCAGCAGAAATCTCTCAAAGATATTATATGGCTGAAAGCTTCACTTTGAGAAAATATTTCTGTTCAGAGAAGAAAGAATTAGGTCTGTGGCATGAATTAATTACACAGTTACAAGTTCCTCTAGACTAAATTTTAAAAAACACTAGAAGGACAACATATTAAGGAGTCAAGAAGAAAGAAGAAGGATAATGATCAAGTAACTATAAGCTGAACAAAGAAATCACTGCCTTATATATTTTGGAGAGTATCTATATAGCAAACGTAACATAACTGCCCACAGAAACCAGACAAAAGCTGCTATTTTTTCCAGTAAATTTGAAGATGATCTTACTGATCTTATCTACTATGAGGAGACACAGGCAAGCATTCTTATTCTTTTCCCATATAACACTGTAAACTGTCACTTAGCCTGTTATTATCAAGTGCTGAATAAGCATTTAACCTTTAGCCACCTATTTAAGTCTTATTTAAGATGGTGTCTTAAAACAAATTAAGTATTACTGTCATGTTGTAAAACTGTAAAAGAAGATTAGTAAGTATATAGTAATTTCTAACTAAATCCAGGCAAAATCACACGCCTAGTTTGCCCCTCAATTATTAAAAAATAATCTAATTTTACCTAGTTCTCCTCCATATAATCTGGACAGAATTCCTAAAACATTTGATCTATTGAGCCCACAAAAAAACACAAAACTGACCCATCCAGTATATTTTCTTGTGTTTTACTAAGCTCAACTATAACTACAAAAGGAGGCATGCCTTCAAGTAATTTAATTAAATTCTTTCAAAATACATAAAAAATATTTTTTTAATCAAAAAATATTATTTTTGTCATTCTTTTATTGATGGTAAGCATTCCTCTCGACATTCATGTAACATTTCTTGATGCAGCAGCCAAGACTTTCAGGAAGAGACTGCAGTGAGTATCCCTCTAACTTCAACAAGCAACTACAGCACAAGAAATCAAACCTATTGTAAAACTGTTCTATTCATAACAACATAAATTAAATCTTTTTGTTTCTCCCTTTACTAATAAAGACAGTGAAGACAACTTATTTCTGCAAATACCAGACTAGAGTAAAAAAGACATTCATTACTCACCTCAATTGTTTTTGCCCATAACGGCGTGCTGGGAAAGTTGTGCTTATAGACTTCATTGGCAAGAGTGTTCACATCAACAGCAGCAACAACTTCTGCAGATGTGCAGCTTTCTAAAATTAAAAAAAGAATTTGAAAACTGTAGTTTCTCTTGGAAAATTGTGTTTGTTCACTTGCGCTACAGCTATGCTCAAAAGGGAAATCACATAATCAAACTCTGCTGTGCTGCCTTTAAAACTTAGTATGAAAAATGTACCATGTTTCTAATTGTATGGTAAATACTTCCCTTCCTTATAGATCAAAAAATGGAATTTAACTTTACACTTAATTTGTAGATACAGTCACACATAAACTCCAAACAGGGTGCATCTCTACGACATTCCCACCTGCACCCAGCTGGTCTCTGGGGCCACCAAGTTCCTTAGCTAATGGAACGCAGCATGAGCGAACCTGCCAAGCCCCCCTGCCACTGCCTGAGCCTCTCCAGCCACGGACAACTTAGGGGAACTAAATGTGGTATCTTAGAAGTATACTACTCCTCATGGTGAAAAAACGGCACCAATAAATATGTTTGAGGTACATCTACTCTTGCAATAAAACTTTAAGAAGTTGCCCAAAAACCATTTGTGCTTATATGCCAATAAAACCTTGGGCCTTGAACACAACTGCTGCTTCCTTTGAGTTCAAGGTCTGCAACATACCAAACGTTCTGAAGGACAACATTTGGCAGCTCCTCTTTTGATATCAAAGGAAGTTCTTCTGGACACTTTGAGATGTTATTGAAAAGAAGAGAGCATTCTGTGACAAATCTACTAAGAGCTAAAATCCTGAAGGAAAAATACACTAAAAAGAATGTAAATAGGCAATGGTTAATTTATAGAGTAACAGAATAATAGGTTCTACAGAAGCTAAAGACATAAAAAGAACAGTGTTTAATTCACTGCTCATCGTGTCACACTGTTTATTATTACTAAGCACAATACCTTCACTGAGGCTTTTTAATCCAGAAAGATAGGCCGTGGTCACCGTTATAGCCACAGGCAGAGAACAGTGACCATACTTCCTGATAATGAGACCAGTTTCAACCACTGAGAAATTTACATCATGGTCACCATTACAAAGCCCCAGATGAAACACAGGTGATTTTTAAACATTTTTTGTGAGCAAAAAAGAAACAAGGCAAATAGCCACATGCCTTTGAGTAGTCTCACAATGCTCAAGTAACATATTAACAAATGACCTTATGAGACATCTTATGAGTTACAGCTAGCCAGCTAATTATTTACAGTTTGAGAGGATAAAAATATAACTATGATGTCCCCAGTGGATTTAGTTTTGAGTAATGCAGTTATCATCCATCTACTATCTTTCAGGTTTTCAAGGCCATCTTATTCAAAATTAAGATGAAAGAGAAATCTGGGTACTGGAAAGACTGCAGCAGGCTTTTTAACAAAGACCAGCCTAGTTCTCCTGGGTTTACTTAGCGCAACAGAGGGCAAAAAGGAGTTTCACAAGAAAAAAGATTTACAGACAGCTGCCCATTAAGGATCAACATATAAATCATTATTCACAGTTACCGTCTTGACAATTTGACTGTAAATTGTAACGGAGTATTAAATAGAGGTGCATCTGCCATGTCAACAGAATGACTACACCTGAGATTACAGAACAGGTATGTTAACACTGACATCTAGCGTGAAAAGAACATCACCTTAGCAGGCTGACTGACTCAATTTACAAGCAGATTCAAGAACCAACACTTTCATCTTCCTAAAACAAAGCTGTAACACCTAAGTAATGGGAACAAACTTCAAGTGCTGTTTAAGAGACTCTTTTTCTCATTTATTCTTTCAGTTCTTAAAATATCCCAACAAGCTGATCCTTACTGCATGTTCCAGGCACTCCAGAAGAGGGGGAAAAAAAATCAAGAACCTCAAATTATCATCTAAATTAACAACAGTTAAAAATTACAATTGGAAAGGCAGGCAGTGTGTTTTCTCTCACAACTCATGATACAGACACTCACCCTTTTTACTAACATCAATCCAATCTCTCCCTGCATACATACAGAAAAAAAGAACTGGGGATTTGCATCAAGGGACTACACAGACCCAAATGCCTGGAAATACTGAAAGAGAGCACATAGCTAATAGTCATTCATTGAAGCCCCTTACAATGCAATGCAATGCTCAGTGTAAACCAGAGGTGTTTACCCACATGGAAAAGGCACGAGAACTTTCCCTGAACTATTCCACCCAACATCCTCTCTTCCCAATTCAAAGACCTGATAATTTTTTCAAAGCTTCTCCTTTCCACTCAAAGCTGTGGCTCACTTGGGAGTTCCTGTTAGAGAACACACTCCCTGTAAAAGCTGATTAAGTGTATTTGTGTGGAAATACCCTGGAAATGCATGAAGGAGCTTAAACAAACAAGCAGATCTCACACATCCGACTTAAAGAAGAGCATGTGTAAATTTTAAACACTGCAAAGATTAAATATTTTTAAAGAACTTCTCCTGAAATTTACATAATTTCAATGTTGAACTATGATACTCTGTTTTGCTATAGCATTTATATTTATTAGCTGAAATGACTGTAGGAATGTATCATAAAAAAGAAAGCAGAATCTTAAAAAAAAAAAAACAAAACAGAATCAAGACTCTTTAACTATTCGCACTGACAAAAGGCACAAAAGAAATTCAGGAATATGAAAATGCCACTGAATTGCTGACTTAGCGAAATGTTAAATCAACTCTTCAAAATATACAGCAGAACTTCAATAGAGAAACATACACAGCTCTGGAGACTTTTTTTTTCCCCAAACAAGTATGTCCAGTTTTCAAAACACAGCCATTTAAAAGAATTACAACTATGCAGAAAACGATTTTATGCAGACTATAGAAAAAATACACATTTTCTAAGTGAAACTAAGAAGCTGCTTGAATACTTGATTTGCAATATACCTCAACACCACAGTTTTTGAACCGAGACTTTGTACTTCTACGAGACATTGTAGCTCAAAAGGAAGCCACAGACATGATGAGGAAGTTACTGAGAGGGGTATTCTGGCTTATTTTTAGACAGACTACATTATAATACTCTCTTGGCGGAAAGCAGGTGAACTCAAAATTTTATCATCCTATTAGGAAAGTACTGATTTTGCACTTGAGTCTTGAAACCTCTAGGGTCCACACAGCAGGAACTCTTTAACTGTTATTTAAATTGCCTAAAGAGGCAGCAACCAAACTTTGGGTCTCAATTCCTATTTTGTTGTATACACAGTGCTTATGAGCCATTTCAGCTATGTAGTAGTCATTCGAGTGAAAGAGACACTGCTGTAATGATTGAAAGGCGCAGCATTTGAAATGAACACAGGAAACGTGCATTAGCTCCTGATTTGGAAAAAACAAACCCAAAAGGTGTCATCTTCAAATGCCAAAAATAAAATAAAATGTCTGATATTACAATATCTGTCCTTTTCTTCTCTAGAATCGATTCCTTTGTCATGTGTTTCTAGTAGACTTAAATTGAACATAGATCTGTTTATATTCACCACTGTACTTTGTAATAGAATCACCAGTGTCAGCAGAGCACATGAAATACACGGCGTTACACCAAGGGCAGAGCCTGGTGGATCTCAGCGTATTGGAAAATCAGAGCCAGAACAATTATCTACTCTAACAGGTATATGGAAACAGATGGAAAAGGGAAGATTAGTCACATGTTTTGTCAGTCCCATTTCCTTCTAAAACAGAGAGCAAGGATTTCTTTTAGTTGTCAGCTCTTGGCTGAAATGATTAGGCTTAACTGCCTAATCAACATGACAGTAAATTTGAGGCTTGCTTCCTGCAAGATACTTAGCAACTTTTTTCACTGCTCTATTTGTACGGGATTTGTTCATGTTCAGCCATATAATCTATGCAAATTTACATTATAGCACAACTGGCACCATCCTGTGCTATGAAGGGCTATAGTTTAGAGAAGCATTATATCAAAATGAGTTTAGGTGTAAAAACTTGCTCAAACCAGCAATATTTTTATTTCACATTGTGCTGAAACCTAAAGCTGCTTGCCTGTTTTGTCTCCTTTTATCCTCCTGAGATAGCTATGCTCAGTGTAATTACGCACACCAGTTTATTATGCTGTGCAGTTCACAGATATAATCAAGAAAAAGGAATAAACAGAGATGATAGAGTACAAGAGGCTTAAATTCTTACTCAGTAAAATTGAAATATAACAATAGCAGTGGAAAAACATCACCAACTTTATCACTGCAAATTTATGGTATTTTTTAAAAGATGTCCTTTCACATCTTAGGCACAGAGACTTTTTTCAGCGACCCGGCAGACTACAAACACTTGTGGCAGAGACCTGGAACCCATTTTTCATGGGAAAACTGCCTATACTAATAAACCAGTTTAAGTTTGTTTTGGTCGGGAATGAGAAAGAGCAGGCTGTTTGTCTGGTGTAAAGTTGCTAAGGAAATGAATTTGTAGCCACAGATTTTCTAAAAATAAACCACTATTTTTCACTGCAGAAACTCTACACTTTATATATTAAGAATACATTTACACACATATATAAAGTATAGCTTTAGACCTATATGATCTAAGCTTGGAGCACAGGGTGGCAAGAAGAAAAAAAAATTCACTCCCATCTCTTAGCTGCCTCAGTCTTTCAACAGTGTGAATTTGAACAGACTCACTAACTTCTGACCTTAATCAAGCTAAACTTTCTAAATTATATCTTTTTTTTGTGTGTGTCATTGCTGTTAAACTTAAAATACTATTATAAAGCATTCAAAATCTAAACCTAGAAATGCTGCATATGCTGAATTATCCTCAGCTGGAGTAGCAACAGAGAGCTAGACAAACCCCAAGGTTATTCTTTTTAAGGTTTGGACTGAAATCTAAATTCAGGAACATCCTTCTTTTCACTGTCAAAAAGAACCTGATTCAGCTATGTAACTATGCACTAATAACTTCTATGTACTGTTAATAGAGAAACAGAATATAAACTTCCATGAACTTAGTAAAATTCAATTATTTCTTACTGTAGGCGAGGGCAATCTCAAAACCAACTCCATACTACTTGGTGCCAAATGCATTCCACTTTAATGACAGCTGCCAAAACAATGAACATCCTCATCCTGCAAGCTCAAGTAAATGCTATTCTAAAAGTTAGTTTATGGAAGATCACATCCAAAAAGGCACCAAAGGTAGAAAAGGCAGTGTTCCTGGAAAACACCAATTTGCCAATTGAAAACACTGGCAATTTCACAGGAAAGAATAAAGTTGGACCAGCTCTGCTAAACATAACTGGCTACAAAGCTGGCTACATAATGCGGCCAGGAACCAACGCTAAGCCAGAACTTGCCAGAAATGCAGAATCCCTTTTGTAGGGCAAGTGGCTTTCCTGGGGTGCTGCCATATTTAAGTATTTCATGCTCTCTCTCTTTTCTACACGTTTCTATTATTTTTCTTGGCTGTATAGATTCACTAGAAACCATACCAAGAAAATAAACTATTACACATAATCTTCATCTCTCATGTATCTGGTTTATGAAAGCACTGGCAAAAAGAAAGGCCTTTTTTTCAAGCTTCATATCTATATGGAAAAAAAAAACCCACATTCTAATATTTCCTTATTTGATTTAAATGAAAGATGCCAAACTGTCTGCCATTTGCTAAATGATATCCAAAAAATTTCATCAGAGGCATTTTCAAATATCATTGTTTCATGTATGCTAGGCCTAAAAGATATAAGAAATCCTGTTATTATATACAAAAAGTACTTACAGGAATATTCTTTTTTTTCTGATTTCCACATAAAAGCAGACACTTAAATCCCCCTTTACTTTGTTCCTTCATAAATTGTGTAAGAAAACTGAATCCAGATGTCTAAGAGACTTAGAAAAACAACAGAAAAGATCAAAATGCCTGATTATATTAGTATTCCTGAATGTAATTTAATTAATCAAAACCAGTTTCATATAACGACCCATCATTAAATACTTAATTCAGTGCAAATCGCATAGAACACTTTTTATTCAAACTGCCTGATTATTAGTTTCAACAACACTCAGAACAGGATTTTCATCTAGAATTGTATGGTTTTAACTTTCTCCAAGACAACAAAGCCTTTGGGCTTCCTCATATGCTTCTCAGAAAAAATAAGCACCCAGATTTGAAAAAAAGTTATACCAACTCTAATGCAAATAGCATTTTATCTGCAAGGTTTGCAAATTTCAATTGGTATTAAACACTTAGAACTATCTAGGGTCATTTACACAAATAATAATTTAAAGTCTCCTCTTATACACCAGGCCTTCATCTGCTTTGGCTGGTACCACAAAAGAACCTGTGTGTCACCCTTCATACTTACTGTAATTTCTTCAGTCAAATGTAAACCCAGAATAACACAAATTACAACATGCACTGACACTAAAGCATTTGTTCAGCAAGTTCAGAAAACAGTAAGCTTGCAAATAAATTTATCCTTTCAGGAAATAATACAAGGGGTTTGGTTAATCCCTTCACTTTCCTAACTACACAAGTCAGAAATGTGATACATGCTCTCAAGCCTTCATATGCATAGTAACCACTGGACACAAGTTCACAGTATTCTGCTAATCTTCTAAAGCTGTATTCCCAATATTCCCATTCTTTTAAGTATTTTGTTGTGTTGTAAATGATGCTTTCTTAGGTTGCCATCCACAAGATATCACATCTGGCATTACAATTTATTAATTATTGCAAAACATTACCAAACATTCACAAGACATTTATTATTAAGAACAGAGATAATATTCAATAAGCATTCATTATATACATACACACACCAACACACGACCTATAGCTGAGTGAAGAGCCATGGTATAGGCTGAGTTTCATGAACCAGTCCACCTTCAGGGGAAATATGGAAATTGTCTACAACCTGTAGATAGTTCCCCATCACTTCAGAAATTGGACTACTAGAAAACGCAAATATTACTATTACAGCCATACACACAATATACAATGTCTAACACCCTCTTTTCATTCCACAAAGACTCCAAAAACTGCAGTTCCATAGAAAGATGTATTTTGCTCTTTATAATCTAAGGATGTCTATGGAAAAAAGAAAAATGCATCCCTACCAGAAGTAGCTGGGATTATTTACAATAAAAATGTAGGTACCTATTTCAGTATGTCATGTATTTTTACACATTTTATAAATATAAAACATATACATACATTCTAGATGGTAGAAAAAACTCAGCACTGCCAACTGTATATTTTAAGTGAATGAATGATCCTAAACTGATTTTACTCTGTAAGCATAACCTTTCAATATTACTTAGCTCACTGGAAAATTAATAGAATAAGTTTTCACCTTTCACCTCATGTTTTTAGGAAAATGCTCTCTGTTATAGAGTATAATAGAAGGGCTGCCAATGCTTATTGAAGGCTGAAGCATTTGAATATTGCAGTTAAAATTATTATGGTGATTCCCTTCAATTATACAAATTTTTGTTGAAGCCTGTACTTCAAAGTAACAAAGCCCAGGGTACTTTACAAAGGAGATCAACAGCCCTAGCTCAGTTTTTTATTCAGGGAAGCCAAGTCACAGAGTCTACAGGACTTGCTTGAAGGTCACACAGGCCTTAACAATAAAATTCAGCTTCGGTGTTCCTCATAGCTGATCAAAAATTGCACCTGGGCACATGGTCTAGAATGAATTCTCTGTACCAGTTTTCCTATTTAGAAAATGCTGTTACAAGTCTCACATATGAAACACACACCAGTTATTCATCTAACTATATGCAATGAAAACCAAATCTGCATCCACACCAATGGCTAATTTGGTCAAATAGCCCTGGCTAATCTGACCATCATTTCTGTGCCTCTGCATGATCAGATCCCATCTGCAGCAGGAGTTCGCCAGTAGAAGACAGAGCATGTATTAATGAAGACAAAACCACAACCTTCCCAGGAGCAGCTACCTGTGCCAAAGCAGGACCATGGATCCATAACTTCCATCCCAGTGTGCTCCTGGGTACCCGGTGCCACCCAGCAGGCCAGGGATGATTCGTGGCACTGCTCGGTTTACAGCCACAGATGCCGAGCGCAAACACACCGCCAGCCAGAACTCAGCTGCCCGTGCCCCTCACACCTCACCCGCACGCAGTCCCTGAGAGCAGGCCCGTGAGACGGCCCCGGCCTCCTTTAACACCAGCCCCACCCCACCGCCATAAGGTCACCTCCCTGCCCCTACAGAGCGGAAGGTTGTGTCGCCGGGGCTTGGGATGGGGGGACGCCCTTCCAGCCCACCGCTTCCTTCCACGCCGTGCTTGTGCGAAACAGTGGGAGGGGGCTGGGGCGGGGGGCGACGTTCCCTGCTGGGGAAGGGGCTGCAGGAGGAGAATGCCCACCTCAGCCCACCCTATCGAGAAAATGGCGCTATCCACACCCTCCCCTCACGACTCGGGGTCCCATCGAGAAGATGGCGACCCCGGAGATGGGGGCGGGGGGGAGGAAAAGGAGTCAGGCGAGGGGGCGGGCGGCAGCAAGCACCGAGGGGACGCGCTAGCGGCCGCCGCCTGCCTGTACCTTTCAGGGCCTGGTGCATCCCCCCGATGCCACTGTAGAGCTCCAGCACCCGCAGCGGCGCCATTCTCCGGCAGCCGGCGCCCGGCCCGGCCCTCCCGGCAGCCTCCCCAAGCACCGCCCGCACGTTCCGCAGCTCTTTCGTTCCCACCTGCCCGCCCTTCTCCAAGCTCCTCAGGGCTGACAGCTCCACGCCACCCTCGCCAGCTGCCGAGCACCGACTTAATTCGGCGTTGAAAATTGCTCGTTAAACCCCGAAGAGGGCTTAGGCCCGGAGGATGAAGCCACCCGCTGGCATGACTGGTTCCGCTGCCCCCTGAGGTGGTCGTGGGGCCGATGCTGGCTCTGACACCTGCACCCTCCCGGGCGTGGGGGCTCGGGAGAAGGCCTTTCTCCCCACCATCAATGCCCTTGGGGGCTACGTCTCCTCCTGGCTGAGGGCTTCTCACAAGAGCAGCAATGAAATCGCCAGCGCCATCGCCCTTCCTCAGGCCCTGTGCCACCAGAGTGCCCAGTGCTTGCCAGGGAGGCGGAGGCCAAGCCTGGCTGTTAGCGACAGGGCAGCAGGGAGGGGCAGGCTGGAGGCTGAAATTCATCTGTGTGGCTTGTACCTGGCCAGGGCACAGGGAGAGAAGGGGGACACAGAGCGGCAAAAGGGGTTTTATCCCCATGTGGGCATGTGCGTGCTGGCCTGCTGTCCAACTGGGCAGCTGATACGAATGGCCCTTGACAGCTTTATGGGCCTATGCGTCCTGTGATTTCTGCATGCAGTGATGTTTTTGAGAAGTCATTTCAAAGCCTGCACCGCTGGTGGAACAGGAAGGAAGGAAATAACTGATGAAACTGTTCTATTTTGCCCCAACACTACGAAATTGCTGTTGCTAAATTGAAAAGAAAGAGGCAGCTCAAAGACATGGTCACCCATGAAAAGTAGTTTGTTTTTAAAACAAATACTAGACAGATGCATCTGCATATATATATATATATATAACAGAGTAAATATCTGGTACACAATTATGTGGGTTACCCACCATATACAAGTAGAGACTCACCAATGCCTCATTTTGCAGATTTACATTGTAAAGTGAAGATGAAACACTAAAAAAACCCTAACCAAACCACCCTGAACATGTTTCTCTAATAATTTATTGAGTTAATCATATTTTTGTGGAGCTTCTTGAAAACTTGTCAAAAATAAGGTAGATTTGAGAAATATTTGTTTTTCTCTAGAAGTGCCTCAAACAGCCTGTCACAATAGCAGCTCCTACCTCTTGCCTTTCTGTGGAGGAAGAATTTTTAGCTAAACTGGAGGGCAAATAAGAGAGAAATCTCCTGCCTTTTAACATGCTTCTCCGGAATATGGGACACACCAGCTGTGGAAAACAGAGGAATTGGAAACAAAAATGCAAAGTAAGAATATTGGTCCTTGCCAGATTTTTCGACACAGTTCTGTCATTCACCTGTGGATCTTCATCACCAGATCCTGGGGATGCTGCTTTATTTGTCAGCCATAGAAATAAGCAGGTGACTAAAACACGAAGTCCAAGTCTACTTCTAGAATTTCTGAAAGGAAATGCAGCGGTCAGGGTACCAGAGGAGAGCAGCACACATTGCAGCCAGCAGTGAGGCAGGTTGCCTGCTTGGATGGCTGATGAAGAACTGAGAAAGGTGAGTAAATCACATGGCATAACAAAACCAGGAATGTGCCAGCTGAAGAAAACAGTCATAGGACAAAGATAGTGAGGGCTCCTAAGAAGAGGGTTCAAGATGATGAAGAGGGCTACAAAGAGCAAGGCTGTTATCAGCTAAGAAGACACACTTCAGTAGGACCCCTTCAAAATACAGATGCAAGGTGAAGGTGAACAAAAAGGTAGCTTTTAGACTAGGGAAATTAGTAAAGCTGATGAATGAGTTTAAGCTTCTTAAACTAGTATTTCAGCAATGCTAGATACTGTGATGAGTGGGAGCTATAGGCAGCCAGGAGCAGTTCATTTATTTGGAGCTGCCCAGTACCTGGAGCAATTAAAGCTACAGAGGAGCAGTATTTCCTTATAACAGGGACACATAGCTGAGCCCTGCTTTTCCCTCTCCTTTCCCTGACTCCAAGGTATTGTTCTCATTCACATATGGGAAAGGTGGAGTCTGATGGAGAAAGCAGCAGAGATGTCTCTGCTGTACTGGTGGCACTAGAACACGCCCTGCTCAGGGGAAATCCTCCACCTACCTCCTCCACCAGTGTAGTAAACTGGAGAATCTGATCAACATGCCTCCACTCTGGCAACAAAGAAATTCATAAACGAGGATGGGATTTTATTGGCTTTTTCTTGTAAAGAGTGGGAAACACCAAAATTTCCCTAGTGCTCATTTTTAAACTGCCAGTAGTCAGTTTTGTAATTATGTCTGTGTCTGCCCTAACCTGGTTCTCATTATTGACAGCTGTGAAAAGGACCAAAATTAAGAGAAGGAATCTGGAAACAGTTACTTTTAGTGCTCTTTTCTTTATAAATGTAAAGTCAGCCTAATTATACCCATACCTTTTGGGTAAGACCTTACATAAATAGCATTTAAGGTACCCTGCTTATTTCACATACTGGGCCGATGGCCGAGAAGGGCTAACATCCATGGCCACTCATATCCTTCTTAGTGCAGAAAAGCTGAATACTGCAGAGAGAGGATGAGCCCTGTGAAAGTGGTTGTTCATACTTCACTCAGAAAATCGTGCTAACACATGCTGCCACTGCCATGGGGCAGGCTAAATGGTTGCTCACTCTTTGTCTTGTGACCCCAAAGCAGCCACATGTCTCCAGAATTTCCCAACTGGAAAGTCTCTCTCCCTTACTGAAATTTGGATGACAGCTCCTTCTTTCTCCTCTCTGTGCATATAGGATGAATTCCTGTAAATCTCAATGAATGTTTAATTTGATTAACAGAGGAGATTAATGACAAAGTTGGAGTCCAATGTCCACCTCTGGATTCTTAACATTTTTTAGGATACAGGTATGGGCTGTTTCAAGTATCAGTTAAGCCTCAACAATACAGCTGACTTCAAGTAACAATTGACAGGCTTTTCTAAAAAGATGTTAGTTTATTCTAGATGAGCATATCTATAGAACTATGCTAATGGACTGATGAAGCAGCTATTTTCTTGACTCTAATATATTTATAGTAAAATACATTTTAAGCAAACTGATCATTTAATGACATTTTTAAAGCTGTTGACATAAGGATGTGATATCAGCATTTTCATTGAGACAGCTTTTGAAAGCTCCTGCCTCCTAGCAGCTAGCAGCATTTCCTCAATGTAGAAGTTTCCAAAGTTTGCCCAGATCTCTGATGAGTGGTATGATACAGGTAATCATGCTAGATCTGAAACTGTTGCCCTGGTAACCAGTAAACACATCCAGTGAAACAGCTACATGTGGTTAAGAGGAACACGCAAACAAAACCACTGCAATATGTTTTCTTCTTAAAATGCTTTAGAATTGTTAAAAATGTTACAGTTATCAATGCAGCCAAACAACATCACAGAAACATGCAAAAAACACTGCCTTAAGATTCTGCATTGTACTTGGCAACTGAAAGGTAAAATTACAAACTATAACTGGAACACGTACTCTCATCCTCAATGTGAGAACAAAAGATTTTAGCTGTTGTGTTCTATAATTCACACCAGCAACAAATGCACACAACAAACATGCACAAAACATTTTACAGGCATCTCAAGCCTTCTGCAGTTACACGTAGCTCTTCTCCCTGCCCTCCCACCAGCAGCAGAGCAGAGACTGACATGCCAGCAAGGCCTCTGCCTGAACCCAGCTGTGAGCAGGAGGTTGCCAGTCTGCAGTGTATGTCACAGGGTTTTATGGATGCCACAATACCGCAGCAGTATAAATTGCTTGAAGTTTCCTTTGAATGTAACCCCTCAACATAAGGCTAGGTAGTGGAAGCTAGTAGACCTGTAGCTGTGAAGTGTTTGTGAGCATTTCCTCTATATTCAGAAAGTGGAGAGAAAGCAAGAAAAATCTCCCTCTGCTGATACACTGGCTGTTCAATATGGACAAATATTAATGTTGACGGCTGAACAAGAAACAATGCTTCTCGTGTCCAAATGTCCAGTCCAACCTACTAAATACCTAAGTGAGGGTCAAGAAGAGTATAGAGAGATCTCAGCTGTCTAGAAGGGAAGCTCATGTTCTAGGTCAAAAATCACTGTGGCTATGAAAGAATGTGAGGCGTGTCATACCCTTGCAATGCAACCACTGAATTGAAAAAATTCAGAGAGTGTCTAGCATAAATTATTGTTTCAATAACCATTGGCCCAGTATGTTACTAATAAAACTGAAAACCTTTTGCAGTTTATCAAATCAATCTGTACTGGATGTAATATTTCACGAGGGAATTTATCAGACTTGCTTTCTGCTGAAGTGATGTTCGGTAAAGGTAGTTGTCAGCCACAGACGTGGCACTTCTGGGAAGCCTGATGGGCCGTGCCAGTATGGCTAACGAAGCCTACGATTTTCATTTATAATGCTACGCATCTGCAGGACTAGAAATGAAACCCACATCAAATCAGGTCTGTTAGCCTCTCCCAATGCGTTTCTAAGAACTCTATACAGGGGAAATTTATGTAGCTGAAATTATTTGGAAGAGTCATCAGACACAAACATTTTTAACCTTTCTCTTTTCAAATATATTAATCTCTCCATTTTGGAATCTTGTTTTCAGGTTCTGGAGCTATGCATCTACTTTGTAGGGAATAAGGAATAAAAAAAAATATATTGCTTCTCTAATTAAATCTTTACTTTTCTGGTTTAAATAAATATAAATCTAAATAAATCTGTCCTGTTTGTTATGTTTGGCTTGCAGTGGTCACCCAGGCTGGATGAGAGGCATATGTTTACATAATGTTATTGACTTTCTTGTTGTACTTACACATTCCAGCGCTTGAGAAAAAAAAAAAAAAAAAGGACAAAAAAAAAAGGCTAGTAGCCAAACAAAAAAGAAAAACAAACCCCAAAACCTTCGCTAGACTGAACAAAACAGTCCGTGAGCTCTATAAGGCCCACTGCAGTCAGCCAAAAGATTGCTGCTGCAACAAGTGTGTTTTGAATCA